TCTCATAGAAACAATTAATATCTGTTGTGATTTTCTTTATTGCAGTTCTTTGACCCCTCCAGATGTTCCTGAAGTAATTTTTGTGGAATTGATGAAATTTGCCACTTTGTCTGTCGAATTTAGTTTCGACAATATGATGTATCGTCAGATTGACAGTGTTGCCATGGGTTCCCCTTTGGATCCTGTGTTGGTGAATGTATTTGTTGGGTCTTATGAGGAGAAATTATTTAATGATCCATTATGTTCCTCTTTGTATTGTTGTTATGTTGATGATACATTTTAGTTATTTAATGATGAAGCTGAGGGCTGATCAATTTCTCTTTTCCCTTAATCTTCATCCTTCTCTGAGGTTTATCATTGAGAAAGAGGTTAACTCTAAACTTTCTTTCTTGTATGTATTGGTACATCATACATCAACGCCTTTTTGTACCTTGGTTTATAGAAAGTCTACTTTTTTGGGTTTATACCCATGTTGGGATTCCTTTTGCCCTAAGAAGTGCAAAATAAACCTTATAAAAACTTTAATGCATAGGTCATTTCTGATCTGTTCTGAAGAGTTCCTCGATAGTGAGATTAGTTTATAATGAGGACATAATGTGATAATGAGTATCCACCCACTGTTATCAATTCTGTTATTCGTGACAAGATTGCTGCCCTCAGAAAAATTAAGCCTGTTATTATGACAAAATGTCCAGTGTATTTAAAACTTCTGTAGATTGGAATAAATGGTGAAAACCTAATTAGGCAAATTTCTTCAAATGTGCAGAATTGTTATTTTTCTCACTATTTACATTATTCGGACTATTGTCCTCATTTTTGTTGCCATATTTATTAGAATGTTTTGGCCGCTGTACGCTTCGGCCTTCTTCAGGTGGTTTGAATGATGAACTGAACCCTTTATTTTGCTCTACCTCAGTGAGCGAAATAAAGGGTTCAGTTCGACATTCCAACCACCTGAAGAAGGCTGTAGCATACAACGGCTGAAACGTAATAAATATGGCAACAAAGATGAGGACAATAGTCTGAATAATGTAAATAGTGTACATAATACCTCATCTCAGAAATAAAGACAGATACTGTTATTTTTCTACTGAGATGCGTATAGTATTCACTTTTTGATGATTTGAAAGTACTAGAGTCAGTTTATGTCAGGTTTCACAGACCCTTGTTGTTTAAACAATGAGAGGATTTGCTGGGCCTTGCTGTAATCAGTCTCTGGTTGTTTCTTCCCCCTCCATTCCCAACATTGACTAATTCATATCTCATATTTATTATATTTTACTTTAAATTCTCCCGATAAAAGAAACTTTGATGAGCAGGAGTGAAACTGCTTGTTTTTCACTCCTTTTATTTTTATCCCTCATTATGTCTTCTAATGTTAAACTTAATACTTTTAAAGCAATACTCAAGTTCTGTACAACTAAAATAAAATCTGTTTAAATATATATATATATATATATATATATATATATATATATATATATATATATACATTGTAATATACTAATATATATGAATACTTGTATTTTGATTGGTCATTTCAGCTCATGTGACAATGTTTCCCCTTACGAGGGGTGGTTAATTAATTTGAACCTTTTAAAACCTTTATTTTACAATCTACATTCAACATCATCATTTGATAAGACACTAGAGGTGTTGAAACAAAATGGCTATTTTTGTAGTGATTTTATAACATATTTATGTTATAATTTTTAGATAAATAATTATATATATATGTGTGTGTGACCATATGTGTGCGAGAGAGAGAGAATATGTGTGTGTGAGACAGAATGAGAGAATGTGTGTGTGTGAGAGAGAATATATATGTGTGATTGTGTGTGAGAGATTATGTATATGTGCGTGTGTGTGTGTTCAAGTATGTATGTATGTGAGCATATACATGTATGTGTGCGTTTGAGCACGTGTGTGTGTGTATATGTGTAAGTGTGTTTGCATGCATGGGAATATTGAAGACAGAGTGACGAATGAGTAGGCCAGTGTCAGCAGGGCATTAAAATTATGTCACATGTTACATTCCAACCTTCCTCTGCCCTCTTTTCATTCAATCAAAAAACTTTATGATCACTTATGGGAAAACAATGAGTGGAAACAAAAACTGAAACATAACAAGAAAAATGTACTTAAAAAGGCTACTTGTGTGAGTACACACACACACACACACACACACATATATATATGATGAATTAAGGAATAAGTAGGAAACCTTTTAGAAATTTTGTGTTTTGCTATTTATTTAGCTTCATCAAACATTCTTTGGAAATAAAATAATGTCTAGATTTTTTTAATTCTAAAATTCTATATTGTTTTGCTTTCATTTGAAATGATTCCAAATTATGTCACTTCTAAATTATTCTGATAACCCTAAATAGGTTGCAAAATATGTTAAATTTATAATGATTTTCCACTGCATAGTTTACTTAATAAGATGGCTGGATTTTCATCCATATCTTCCATGTATTTGCTATTGGGATTTTGAGGCATAGATATAGGAACGAGCAAATTTATTGGTTGCTTATCTAATTCTCTTTTAATACCTTCCTCCTAAGGACAAAAAAAAAAAAAAAAAAAAATAATTGGGGTTATAAATTTTGCCATTTCTGTTAATTTTCTATTTTTTCTTGCCAGGCATATTATTCTGACCAAAATGTTGAGCTAAAGGGTGATATAGTTTTACTTTTTATTTATTTATTTATTATATTTTTTGTCTCTCACCTGATTTCACCTTGTAGTCAAAAGTGTGAGAAGATCTTATATATTTTGTTGAATAATATAGACAAATTGTGTCTACTTATTTTCATACTAATCCTTTCCAGTTGTCTAACCAGTTTCTTGATGTTAATATGAAATTCATCAAGGAAGGTGCTGTAGTTTTTTTTTTTAACCTAATTACTTTCAATCTTTTCTAAGATCATCTTCAGGGGTAAATTACAAAGACAAACTCATTGTAACTGCAATAAAATCTGCATTCCGTTATGAGAGTGATTTTTGTGAACACACACTGTCATAGCAATTTTATAATTTTAGATTTATATGTTGTAGCAATAGAATTTTTTTGCAAAACAAGCGTTTCAATATAAGGGAGCTGACTGGAAATAAGAAGAAATGTAAAATGGCATTAAATGTCATATGCCCTTTAATATATTGTTGTTATATTTGTAATAAATTTTGTTGAGTGTTGGTTGGTAGATTTTAATATAGAAGGCCTTGAGAATTTGAAGTTTTTGTTTATTATTTTCATGGTGTAGTATATTGGTACTGAAAATAAGTAGACAGAATATGTCTATATTATTCAATGAAAATTGCTTGAATGAAGATATGTTGCCGAAATATATATATATATATATATATATATATATATATATATATATATATATAAATTAATGACAGTATATGTCTTGAAAACCAGACGTCAAATGGCAACAATTAAGAGAAAAAGAAAGAAAAGATGAAGGAGTGTAAAAGTGTTTAAAAAAATGAAAGGACAAATAATCATGACATTCACATATGCACAGATAGGTGAACACACATATACACTATAAAAAAACTTCTATCTATCTATCTATCTATCTATATATATATATATATATATATATATATATATATATATATATATATATATTTATTTAGGCAGCATATCTTCATTCAAGCATAAGCCAAAGCTTAAAATAAACTAAAAGCTTGTAATATAAAATATACTGCCAAAGTCAATGGAGCTTAAATATGACATATAATAATAATAATAATAATAATAATAATACAGTAATCTCAAAATCAGCTACTAAGAGTTTCATGAGATAACATAATCATCAGGTGGATTTTATTTTAGGCTATCATATGAATGAGTTGTAGATTATGATATTAATATTGTATTAATAATATTATATATATATATATATATATATATATATATATGACCTAAAGATTGTGTTCATGCATTAGACAGACAGTCACCACTCAGTGTTGACTTGAAGAAAGGTATAAAAATTGAAGATTGCATGCTTTTTCAAAACTAATTTACTAGCTCATTTCAGACCAAAAGGTCTTTATCTTACTCAAGGTATTTATCATATATCCATTATTGTATAAAGTTTCCTGAAAATTTTAGTTCTTTTTGCTTAATCTATTTTTGCTGGTTAATGGTAATCCTAGGGTTGGTGGTTTTTAACTTTCAAGTAATGCCCTCTCTAGAAAATTGAAAGCCATGCACTAATGGATTAGTTTTAGCATCCGAGCTTGATATGAGTTCATTAAACCAGAGAAAGAATCAAACTTTGATGTGTTTATATATTACATAATGTCCCTTCTTTGATGTTGTTGATTTTAGTTGATGCGCAGCTTTCTTGTCTTTACCATTTTATCGTAATGGGAAATTTTTTGCTATTCTTTTTTTTGTTGTTTTGATATGTCTATTTTAATCATAATTATTGAATACAAATCTTTTAAAAATTATTTATAGCACGACCACTCCAAAATTTCAGCTTTCTATATTCAAAAAGTGTATATATGCTTATGTTCACATTTTTTGCATAATCGTAGCAATAATAATAATAATAATAATAATAATCAAAAAATAAAATGTTTTCTTATCACATCTCTGAATTTCACAGAAATAACATTCACTCTTCAGGAAATTTAATTTTAAAATTGGATTTATTTGAATTTGTTCAAATAATTTGTTACAAAATAATACCTTTGAAGGAACATATAAATTCAATTTTAAAATCAAGTATCTTGAAGAGTGGATATAATTTTCATGAAACTCAAAGCAGAGACAAGATAAGTGAACATTTATTATTATTATTATTAATGCTCTATCTCTTGATTACAAATGCTATAATTCCCAAAACAGGCTGAATAAAAAAAACAACATGGAATAAAGAATGCAATGATGAGATACACACATGTAGTCTGAATAGAAAACATTTGTATTCTTGAAATAAAATAAAGTTCAAATGCCACTGGAGTTATGATCAACTTACATTATTTGTTTGCTTGCTTAAGGCTGCTTTTTAGTTTTGCACCAGATTTTAAAGTTGGTTTCTCACCATGTAACCTAAAGGAGAAAAAAGAAGATTGGATATGGAATCAGTTAGTTCATAAATGGCAAATATATATTTTTAACATAATTTCCTTCTTTGTTAAAGCACTTAATTAAGTGTGAGTCAAAAATAGGACTTAGTTTCTCTTATTTGATTACTTCCATGCCATTTGTCTTATAATGTACAAAAAGGTAGAAATCAAGAGAACCTGTTCTGCTTGCCATCAGCATGGCAGACGGTAGACTCCTGGAGAGCAACACAATGAACCTTCTTGGCCTCACATTTTCAACTGACTTGATGTGGAGCGACTACATCAAATCAATAGTTGCATCTGTTGTAAAGAAAGTTAGGTCGCTGTGTTGTGCCAGAAAATTTGTCATGTCAGAATTCATCTTGCACATTTACAAATCTAACATTCGTCCGTGCATTGAATACTGTTGCCATATCTGGTTTGATGCTCCTGCTACTCATCTTGAGGTTCTTGACAAAATCCAAAGGATCTGTAATCTAATTGACACTGACTTGGCATCTCAACTTCAGTCACTTTCTCACAGATGATGTGGCTTCCCTCTGTCTTTTCTACAAATATTTTCATGGCAACTGCTCTGACAAGTTTTTTTTTTCCTCCAGTGCTCCAACTAGAAGGATTTAAGTGTTCTACTAAATTAGCATCTAGGTCTCACCCATTTTCTATTGAAATATTTAAATGCAACTTCCATTTCTACTCCAACAGTTTCTTTTATTGAACTTCCTACCTGTGGAACTCCCTTCCATTTACTTTCTTCCCTGAAATCTACAAATTTTCAAAAATTTAAATGCAACATCAATCACCATCTTCTACCTTCTAAAATCCCATTAATCATTTGTCCTTTCCTCAATCCTCCCTATTCTCAGTCTTCTTTTTCATTTTCACTTCTGGTAATGCCCTGCATACTAGTGGCATTTCTGCCTTGCTTAGGGTGAAATGATTAAAAAAAAGTTATTTGGTTATGGGGGGGGATTATTAAGGAACTGTAGCAAGCTGTTTTACTTGTAATCTTCAAACTTGCCTTTCCTTGTAATTGGTGCTCAGTTTCCACCGAGTAGGCACAGTGTGGCACACATATGGTTGTAGAGTTTGATATTACTTGCCACCAATATCTGTCTATATTTCTAAGATGAGGTATTGTAACTATTTACACTATTGACATTGTTTGGGCTGTTGTCCTCATCTTTATTGCCATATTCACAGTCTATATTTCTGAGATGAGGTATTGTAACTATTTACACTATTTACATTGTTTGAACTGTTATTCTCATCTTTATTGTCATATTCACAGTCTATATTTTTGAGATGAGGTATTGTAACTATTTACACTATTGACATTGTTTGGACTGTTGTCCTCATCTTTATTGCCATATTCTCAATGTTTTGGCTGCTGTGTGCTCCATCCTTCTTTAGGTGGTATAACTTAGAATTTCAAATCAAACTTTCTATTTTGTCAACAGGGGTAGATTGTTCTAATTCCCTAAGGACACATGGTACAGTAGGTAAAAGTGTCAGTAATCCAAAAAGTGACTTGACCCAAAGAGTTGTGAGTTCAATACCTTACCACAGCTAGGAGGACAAAAACTTGGAGACTTGAGTAACTAAAGGGAATTAACTGATACTGAGATATCCAAATAAGGTATAGCACAAGGAATTAGAACAATCTAGTTCCATGGATTAAATAAAGGGTTAAATTTGAAATACTAACATATATAACCTGAAGAAGGCTAGAGCATACAATGGCTGAAACTTTGTGAATATAGCAATAAAGATGAGTACAGCAGTTTGATGCAATTAGTGTAAACAATTTCCTCTAATTTTACAGTGATCTTAGTTTTCAACTTATGAATGGTACAAGGCTTTTCACAATAAGCAAGGTCTTTCATGAGTCCACTTCTGCGCTCCCCCCAATTCCAAAGAAAGAAATCTGGAGGTGGGAGGTTTGGGGAGTGTCCATCAAGTGTCTGATCTACTTTCCAGGAACCATTGACAAACATGATGTCCATAAAGAGGTGAATTTCCATCTTGCTGGGAAGAAGAGTCCTGATCTTGTACCTTGGGCAAGAATTTAGGTGTTACTTTTGACCCACACTGTATTATTCACATGGATTGAACATTATACAGTGAAAATTTCAGATCAAAATTCAGCTCATATGTGTCAGGCTATGGAGAATTAGAGAAGACTTACAAAATAATACTAAAAATAAAATTGGAAGTACTTTAAAGTTAGTTTAAAATTATAAATTTTGTTTACATTATAAAACAAACTTTATCAGAAATTAAAGATTTTGCTTAGTAATGTTTCAAGTTTGCATTTTTTATATTATCTTTTCATATCTGTAGATATATGTGCACCTATCTGTTGATAAATGTGTGTCTGCCTGTTGATATATGTGTTTCTATATTTATATTGATGTAAGAATATGTGTGTGTATACACCTATTCATACGTGGCAGGGTGTCTTATGATCAGAATAATCAAATTGCATATAGTACAGGCAGTCTCTGATTAGCTTGACAACTGATTCTTATCATTGAATCAAGGCTGTCTCTTGCTAAAAGTTCATATGGTGCTGGGATGGTCTGTTGGGTGGCTCTCTTTGTACAAGTGGGTGATTATTACAAGCATATTCAAATACATGCGTAAGTAAGTACTTGTCTAAATGTGTGGCTGTGTTTTAAAACTAAAAAGATGATTGTGTATTCTTTAAAAAAATCAATTTTAGAAATTCTTTTCTTTTTTTTTTTCAGACAACAGAAGAAGATTTCTAACAAGTAGGAAAGTAAGAAGCAACAAGGCATTTATTGTAAAGCTTAGACAGGCTGGATCCTATAGCTTTGGGTGGAGAAGGACATCTCTTAATTCAAAAGCTTCAACTATGGGTTAAGTTCAGGAGCATATTCCTTAAGGACTATTGCAAGGATACCATCAAGTTCACAATGTTTTTCATTTCTCACCAGAGTTCAGCTTCTTGTCAAAAGTTAGAGAAGAAACATATATATATATATATATATATATATATATATATATATATATATTAAAATTATAACATAAATATATTATAAAATCAATACAAAAATAGCCATTTTGTTTCAATACTTCTGGTGTTTTATCAAGTGATGGTGTTGAATGTAGAATAAAGGGTTTTAAAAGGTTCAAATTGACCAAACACCCTTCAATAGGAGAAACGTTGTTACATAAGCTACAATGACCAATCAAAATACAAGTATATGATAATTAAAAAAACTTGACAACGAATCTTGGTTATAATTATTAATGCCTTAATGTTAAGTTTAGACTAAAATAGAAATCATTCCAACTAATTAATATTAAATTTTACTATAAAATTGAAAATTACCAATTTTAAATTTAATCTCTATTAAGTTTAGAATATAAAATTATTTAAAGAAAAAAACTGAGGAAAAAATACATATGTTTTGTTATTTATTTTGTTTTAATTGAAAGGCCAAAAACTCAGTTAAAACTTAATAAGAGGTTAAATTTAAAATTGGTCATTTTTAATTTTCAATTTTATAGTAAAATTTAATATTAATTATTAGGAATGATTTCTATTTTAGTCTAAACCTAACATTAAGGCATTAATTATTATAACCAAGGTTCATTGTCAAGTTTTTTTGAATTCACATATACTTGTATTTTGATTGGTCATTGCAGTTCATGTAACTGCATTTCCCCTACTGAGGGGTGTTTGGTTGATTTGAACCTTTTAAAACCCTTTATTCTACATTCAACACCATCACTTGATAAGACACCAGAAGTGTTGAAACAAAATAACTATTTTTGTAGTGATTTTATAATATATGTTATAATTTTCGAATAAATTATATTTGCTTTACTCTGTATTGAGCACTCTTTTAAGAATAGTATTTTTTGGTTATTGGAATTTATTCCATATACACCAATCCTATATTTGGATATATATATATTTATATATACAAATAGTAAAAATATAAACTAGAGCTTAAAATATGCTAAAAGCTTAAAATATAAAATTAACTGAGTGCTTAATGCCAAAGTTGACAGAGTATGAATATAATATATTATAACATCATTAATACAATAATATCAAAATGACAATGTAACATATTAAAAATAAAGTTTAAAATTGCTATTATTGAAATATTAAGAGAAGATCAAAACAGGAATAATTATTTTAAGAGAAGAAAGACAGGTACTACACTGTAATGTAGTCACAAATAAAAGTCGTATGGTTAGGATTAGATAACAGGTTTCCTCACAAACTGGTTTCAGAGTTGAAATTCTAACCAAATGACCAAACATCAGAATTTTGTTAAAAATCCCCTTTTGGTCAAAATAAGAACTTTTCAACACCCTATTGTATATATATTTATTCAACTCTCCTATCGCATTCAAAGTATGAGGGTTATGCAGTTCAGCTCCTAGGAACTGACAGCCCGACAACAGCCGAAATACAGAGACCTGGTGCACTATATGCCACAAGGTCCCCAAACAACCTTCCGCAGGTTTTGAATTCAGAGTTGTCCCTCTCCTAGACCAGTTGCCATCCAAGGCTATAGAACCCAGTCTGTCCTGCTATTTACCCATAGCTGGAGGGAGAAGAAGAGGATTCATACCTTTCGCAAGGGTATTAGAACGTAAGTGAATGTAATGGATTCAACTAGAATTTGAACTTGTTTCTCTGATTTCTCAATCAAGACGCTATCCATTACTCCACTGTGCCTTCTCTCATATATATAAATTAAGCATTGAGATGCCACTAAAACAGAAATAATTCAGATGAGAGGACAAAAACCTTGAAACAAAAGAGTTTGTCAAATTAATGGCTTGTGACTTTCATTTGAAATAAATATCTCCGAACAGAGTCTCATGCTTGCTAAATGAATTCTGTTTTTCTTTACTATGCCTACACTAATTAGTCTGATTATTATTAATGATAGCAACAATGACATTAGTACTATGTCTGATAATGATCATAGTACTAAT